CCGCATCCCACATACAGCAACTAGAAGGATGTGCAGCTATGACGTACAACTGTCTACTGGGGCTTTGGGGGAAAAAATAAATAAATAAATAAAATTATAAAAAAAAAAAGCAACTGCCTACACAGAAATCAAAATATAATGATGTACACCTGAAATTTTTGTAATGTTATAAACCAATACTACCTCAATAAAAAAGAAAAAAAAAGCAACCGACAGCAATAAGAAAAGTGAGCAAGAAGGGAGCAAGGCTAGATGCAAAAAGCCATCAGAGTTCAAAATAGCTTTCCCTGCCTCCAATTTTCCCTCCATCCTATCCAAGGGTTGAAATCTGGCAGCTCAAAGACCATTTCCAATGTGGGTTTTGTTTGGCCAGCCCTTTTTAAAAAATGAGTTGCCCTGAATTTTAAAAGTGGGAGGTTTCACATTTAAACAGCAATAAAAGATTTCTGGCTTCTCTTGAAAAATCTGAAGATTTGACAGTTTGGGGCCCTGACTCTCTCAGTAGCTGACTAAGACGGAGCTGAGTAGCTGCTGCTGCCTTCAGACAGGACATATGTTCTCCAGTTTGTCACAGTCCCCACTACTCCTTCCATCCCTTGAACTGAGGCCAAATACCAGTCGCCATTTATCATGGTGCTTTTGTTTTCACTTCCTTATAGTGGGCTCTGTTTGGCCTTGGAGGCATCTGAGTCACTCACCTTTGTACTAATCTATTCTGCCTGGTATCTGAGGAGTGATAGGATGAAATTAGTATTTTAGGAAGATTTGTCAGTGCAAAATAGATTGAAGTGAAGGGCGGGGAGGCAGAAAGCAAGAAATAAGTTGGAAACTTATTGAAGGAATATTTGAGAGAACTTGGCCAGTAATTAGTGGATGAAAGATGAGGAAAAGGCAAAATACAATTCAGTTTCCTGCCTGAATGGCTGGGAAGATGATATCACCAACATAAACAAGAAGGTGGGAGAAGTGGACAGGGTGGTGGTGACCAATGCCTTGCTACCTCTAATATTTTGTGGGCAAGGGCCATGAGTTACCAATTCCATAATTCTCCAGTATTCTGCTGGACATGCATTAGGTGCTCAAGAAATTCTACTTGAACTCTGATCTCAGGTGGGGTATATATCTGATGGGGGCGGGGGGGGGAGAATTGGAACACTTCAACTAAACCAGTGAGTTGTGAGACCTTAGAAATTCTCTGCAGAGTGGGTCATCCTGGGGCTTGGGGGCACATATCCCCTTCTGGGGAAAAATTTATGCAAAAGTCCTGAAGCAGAGTAGGAATTTGGCAAGCAAAAACAGAGATGGGGTGGAAACGGTGTCATTCCCAGGGAAAGGAATAAAAAATCAAAGAGACCGGATGGCAGGACTTTCCCTGGAATACAGTGGAAAAGCAAACTCTTGGTTGGGGCATTAGGCAGGGAATTTTGGACAACGAGGCTGAGAAAGTTGGAAGGCTGGACTTCTCTAAACGTTTCTGAGAGCACACTTAAAAGGAAAAGACATTTTCAGCCCAAATCCCAAAGAAATATTCATTTATTTGCAAGTTATTTATAAGTACAACTGCAGTAATGTTATGCAGTTCATTAACATTTACACAAATAGAAATTTTAAAAGATTAGATAAAAAATAGGAATATTCTAGTATTTTCTTCCCACACCCCCAATGTGTCACATCACACACACACCACTTCGGAGGCCCTGCTGTATGGAGGTTCTGAAACACAGGCGGGGCACGGTCTGTCGACTTTCCGGACTCCGCAAACTTCAGACGCAAAGACATCAAAGAACAGCGAGTGCTTTCCACGTGCCTCAGTGCTTCCCACATTTAATCCCCAAAGCAACTCTACGCTGCACGTAGGATTACTATCTTTTAAGATAATAGTTTTAAGGAAACTGAAGCATAGTGAGGTTAAGAAATTTTCCCAGGGTCACACAGAAGAGGCGGAGCCAGAATTTGAACCCAACTGGCATGGGCCCACAGTTCATGACCTTAACAACTACGGGGGGGGGGGGCATTTCCTCTGTCCTGTCTCCTTGGTCAAGTCCCTCACCAATCAGCGCTGTCGCGAGAGTTCCAGGCACAGTGCGAGGACGCAGGAGAAACTTACTAACTGCTACGCATTCTACAACGCGGTCGTCTAGGGAAAACCCAGCTTATCCTCAGTCTCCAGAGGCCAACGCAGACGGCCGCGCAGGCGCAGATGATGGGCTTGGTTTCTATGGTTTCCGGGGCGAGACGGCTGAGGGAAGGTCGACTCCCGGCGTCGCGCTGCAAGCGTCGCGCTACCGGCGTCCTTTGCGGCAGGCCTCCGCGTCGCCCGCAGATCGTCCAGTACCGAGCAGGCAAGGGCACCGCGGTGGAACGGTAGGGCTTGTGTGTTTTCGCGGGGGCAATTTAGCTGAAGGAGCTTCCTTCCGAGATTTTTTTTTAACACATTTCCTCTTGGCTTGCTGGGTGTTCGTTCTTCCTGGCCAGAACTGTGGGCATGTTTCAGCTTTCCCAGGCCCTTTCGCCCACACAGCCTGTGTCACCGAAGGCTGTAGACCGCCCGTCTTTTACTCGCTTACAGGTTAACTTAGCTTTTTGCTGCGCTAAGGCTTTGGCCTTCTGTTTCTTAGTCTGAAGTCCACGCTCTTTATCCCTTGGTGATCTCGCCTCGCCAACCTCTTCAGCTCATTTCGTCCTTGCTCCCGGCATGCACTCGGCGCTCCAGCCACCTCTGGGTGCTCACTGCCCCCCAGACATACCCAACATCTCCGGCTGTAACTCGTGCTGTGCCCCACTGGAGTACTCTGCCCACTGATCTTCACTTGGCAAACTCAGCCCGTGCCAAAAGGCATTTTCCAATCTCCTGAGCAGAGTCGGTGCTTCCTTCTTCCAGCTTGTTACCCTCTTGTGTTCCTTCCATTGGGTTCCCAGTTCCCTGTGTGTCTCCATTCTAGTGCTACGTTGCAGTTGCTGCTTTTCCCCCATCCCAGTGCCTGGAACGTTATTTCTCAGTAAATGACTGAAAGAATGAGTAGGACATTTAAAAATTAAATTCACCTGTAAATCTACCGTTCATACATAACTATATTGACCTTTTCTTGTGCTTCCTTCCAGTCTTCTTTTGCAGACAGTTTTTCTTTGGCCTTATTTTAGTCCCTTTTTTTCATTTAACATTAAAATGTTCCACGTACATTATCCTTTTTTCCCCATATCTATCGTATTCTACTAAGTGGGTACCAGATTTAATTATCCATTTCTCTATTGTTGCACATTTGTTGGAATTTTTTTTCCAATAAACAATTACTGAGCCCCTGCCTCATGGCACTCATTGTTCAATAGAGGAGACATTCAAGTAAATAGTCAATTACAGTGGTGTGCAGGGTACTCCTGTGGAAAGGTGAGGATGCTCTGCTAACCCAGAGGAGGGACACCAGTTTCAGGATGGCTTCTCAGAAGTGTCATCTAAATTGATATGGATAAGAAAATGTAAAGAAAGGTTTTTGTGCATGTGCTTTTTTGTTCTTTTCAGTTATTTCTTCACATCTGTCTCAAAGAATTGGGATTATTGAGTCAAAATATAAACACTCTTTTTGACTTTTGATAAAAATGACCTTATCAATATAGAGAGGATTTTTTATTTTTTAGTTCTAGTTCTCTTTTCCTTGGGTTTTGTGAAAGCACAGAAATTGCTCGTCCGCCGTCAACTGGAAGAACCTGTCTAATAAAAAAGTTTGGTGAGAAGAAATTGGGAGAATACTATAAAATATCTTTCTAGAGGGCTGTTTATCATAATTATCTCATTTTTCTTAGCAATTTCTCATTTGATTGCACTTTTATGGCATTATTTCTTTTTTTATCTTCCATTTCAGCCATGCCTTTTTTTGATGTGCAGAAAAGGCTGGGCCTTAACTTAGATCAGTGGATGACAATACAAAGTGCTGAGCAGCCTCACAAGATTCCGGGTCGATGCCACGCTTTTGAGAAAGAATGGATAGAATGTGCACATGGAATCGGTGGTATCCGTGCAGAGAAAGAGTGCAAGATAGAATTCGATGATTTCGTAGAGTGTCTGCTTCGGCAGAAAACGGTGAGGAAGTGATGGAGGTGGGAGCTGAATTACTTCTTTGTTTCTTTGGGGCTACTTTTCAGTGTTTTTAGTTGGTCATTGGGCAGTGGCTTGCTTAATGTGAAATGGCAAAACTTTCCTGGTGAAACACCTTTTCTTCTTAGGTACCATGTCCAGGAAGTTAAATGCCTCCATATCTGAGGAGAGCCTATTGGTCCTCAGTGTTCTTCCTCATTTTCTCACATATATTCCTTAGCATTGTACCCTTCTATAACCAACAGGTTAGATTGCATATGTGTGTGTATTTCCATTAGGCTATAAAGCAAATAATATCAGCCAGCCATGGATGTTTGTCGTTGAAAGTCTTTGGGTGAAAACCGTCCAGATTCATTGAACCCTCACTGAGGAAGAGGTTAAAACCCTGCAGATCTATTACATTGAACCTGATATAACAATCTCTGGATTCATTTCTACTCTGGAGAAGATGGAGGTGTTAATGAGATTGCTTTAAGTGTGCCTAAACAAAGATGCAGAGGAAAAAAAGGATGTTAACAGCATGGTGTCTACCTCCTCAAGAGTTGATTGAGTTGCATAACATATAGGGCCCTTTTCTCCCTTCAAGAAGGAACCGTCGTTTCTGGGCTGTCATTTTGCCTATTTCTGTGCTCCAGATAAAACAAATGGAAATGTTTTTATTACAGCCAACTTGTTGGAGTTCAGGGAGGCAATTTAGATTTTCAGTTAAATTTATCACAAAGTTACCTGTATCAAAAACTTAAAATTTCTTATCTTTTTGTGTGTGTGTGAGGAAGATCGTCCCTGAGCTAACATCTGCCAATCCTCCTCTTTTTTTTTTTTTTTCCCGCTGAGGAAGATTGGCCCTGGGCTAACATCCATGCCCATCTTCCTCCACTTTATATGGGATGCCGCCATGGCATGGCTTGACAAGCAGTGCATCAGTGCGTGCCTGGGATCCGAACCGGCGAACCCCGGGCCGCCGCAGCGGAGCGCACGCACTTAACTGCTTGCACCACCAGGCCGGCCCCAAAATTTCTTATCTTTTAACATCTGCCATTGGCATTTGCATAAAATGAAGCCAAACTTGGAAGGAATGAGGGGGTGTGAGGTAATAGTTTTGTATTGCTCTCTGCGGGAATATTGATATTAAGTGAGTAATAATATAGTATTACTGAGGGACAACGAGTAGGTCATGGTTGGCCACCTACCAGCTATTTAGTTCACAGCATGTCTTAACTTTTCTTCTTGTGGGCCCCCGTTATTGCTTGCTCAGGTTAAGACTTAGCTCATCATGGGTAATTTACACCAAGAGGAGGCAGCGTGGTGAGGTGGAAAGAACATTGGATTGGGAGTTAGGAGAGCTGGGTTTTGATGCTGGTTCTGCCACCACTATTTTGTGACTTCAGGCAAGTCACCTCCCTTCTTGGTCTTGGTTTCCTTGTCTGCAGATATTAAAGAGTTGCTCTAAGGGTTACTTCGTCACCCTGTGAATTTGTGAGTAAATATGTTACCGTTTTAGAGGTCACCCTGAACGACCAGATACTTCTCCCTAGGCCAAGAAGCTAGTGCATCAGGGAATTAGAATCGAGCACTGTTCTCAGTTCTTAGCATGTAATAATGGATTTATTTCTCACAACAATCCTGTGAAATGCTTTACTATTATTTTCCTCACTATATAATTAAAAATTTGAGGCAAAGAAAAATTAAGGCCATTGCCGAAGATCACGCAGCCAGTGAGTGGTGGACCTGGGATTTGAGTCTGGCAGTGCTGACTCCAGAGCCTGTGCTCGTCTCCACAGTGCTGAGTGCTGATGGGTTCCAGCTCAGGGAGAGACCTCACATCCAGTGTTGTGATAGATCAACCATGGCTAGTCCTCTGTTGGGAGAATCTTTAATAGAGAAACGTTAAGAATTCAGTCTTTTAAAAATGGTGAATGTTTATATCAGTATTTAGGATATACCTCGAGTTTTTTCTACTTAAGTTATCTTCTGACTAATTCTTTAAGGTTAATGGGATGTTTAACTGAATATACTATATGAAAAC